CTGAAAACTTCCTAAGAAACATATTTACTAGACATCTACAAGTGGATTCCCGAATTTAAATGACTGTGAGACACTGTTGGTGTGGAAACCGTTGGAGACGGATTTCAGAGCAGGAAGTGTGTAATTATTGCAGACAGAGGGGCAGATAGATGGATGTGTTTGTGTTAAACACTCCCACTCAATTTCCCTGCAATCTACTGGACTAATAGAAAGCAGGTGTCTTTCTATGTGTGTGTGTATGTGTGTGTGTGAGAGAGAAAGAGCAAAAAAGAGAGAGAGAGTGAGAGTGTGTGGCCACAAGCAAATGTGCATAATACAGTACGTCATGGTAGAACTGGACACAAAGCTCTGGTATCATGTTAATGAATCTGCCAGATGAATGACTGACGAGTATGGAGTTGAGTTAGAGGCCAAGTCACTGTCATTTTCTGGTCAAGTGTCCTGTGTACAGGCCCTAATGAGAAGCACTTAAAGTTTTTGGGTTAAAACAACCTCCTTTTGCTCCCATGTCAGTTAAACTAAAGTAGTGTTTTGACAACAACAAAAAAAGAGAATATGAACATCTTTGTTGCTACAATTGATTCTACAATTTTCTACAATTCATTTTGGTATTTTGGTAGTCAGCCTATGTAATATACACTAAACTTAACAGGCTGTACCCAACTGCAAAGTATAAAATAAGATTATATTATCATTTGGTGTATTTACTTTGAGAGACTCATTCAAATACTAAGTTTTAAAATATTCTTTGAGTAATTTATGAGGATTCTCATGTAACGTGAGCTTGATGGAAATGGTAAAAAAAAAATCAAATCCACTGTATGAACCTATGTTTTAGATATATTTGAAAATATGTGTTTAGTAATGTGAACAGTTCACTAAAAGTAGGGAAAACTGTACTCTCAGTATTCAGGATGTGAATGTTTTTTTGTATGAGTGGGATAGTGTGCATATGCATGCAGTGCTGTTTCACATTGGTCACAGAATTTCTCTGCCTTCCTCAGCCGATCTGTAAGCTTCCTCTGAAAGCAATAAAGAAAAATGCTTTAAAAATGCCTGGAATGAAAGACAAAATATGATGCAGTGATTATTTGGTCCCACACATAATCTTTACTCACCTGTGAGTGATCATGTTTGATATATTAGTTAAAAACAATTCTTGTAGGCACAATTTTACACACATTTCATATGACTCCTCAGACAAGACATTAAAAAGCAGTGTATGCTCTCTAGTTCAGGTTCTCCTTTTAAGGCTCTTCTGTGAAAGTCTTTTTCTTTTTTGTGCATCAGATGATTCCACTCTAGGCCAACATAGATAGGAAGGAATTAGGTTTGATTTCCAATAGCACAGATTTAGCACATTCACACACACTCTTCAACATGCACACACTCAGACAACCAGGTCATCAAACAGAGTTGAGTCTAGAGCAGTGGAGTCTAGAGCAGTGAGAAATGCATCAAGTCATACAGGGCCACAACAGCAGAGCCAGGTTGGTAATTGCTTTGGTCTGGATCAGAATTTCAGAAATTTGTTAGCGGCTGTACAGCTCCAGGTTTCAGTGAGTCCAGGCCCAAATTCAGAGATTGATACCTATGTTCTCCAGCCAGATCCATCTCCAACTGGCCAAACCACAAGGCCAAAGAGATGGTGACTTTTCAAAAATTAGAGATCACATGATTTGCTCCATCCTTAAACTCCATTTCCATATTTTTAATTAGCTCTAAAGGCTTCAGTTAGACTAAACAAACAAATGCACCTGCAAGTTTGAGTTTGAAAAATCTTACTTCGGGCTAATATATCAACAGCGATACTTCTCTAACACACATCTGACTCTGTCAGCGTTGCAGAATTCCGGCCATTGCCTGAAAGCATACTTGAAAAAAAACACACACACACATTTAAGAAACAGTATGAGTGCATTTCTACTTCACTTTGTTACAATCTGCTTCACGGTTCTGTAATAATTAAAGACAAGCAGCTCATGAAAACACACATGGTTTGCACTACATTACATATGGAAGTAAATATGTGCCATCAGAATTTGAATAAAAAATACCTCTGAAATTTGAATGTTGTATATTAGTGCTTACTTTTTCAGTATTAAAATAAATTCAGAATATATTTTTAACCTAAAAAAAATTCAATGTCATTATTTGTACATTAAAAAAAAAATCAGTGTAATTTTTTTTACATGGTTGCAATTTTCAGTTATTAAAAAAATTCACATTCCTATTTCAAAGTGATCAAATTTTCAATATACATATTTTTCACAGTTTAAATTTTCAGTGTTAAAAAATTCAGCATATAAAAAAATTCAACTTTTCAAAATTCAAATGCAATATTTTCGTTGTCCTCCAATTCAACTTGCTCAAATTCGCTGTCTCAAATTCAGCGTCTAAAAATTCGCTGTAAAAATGGCCAATGTTACTTCGTGTCACAGACATTAGCAATGGATGTCCGATTCAACATCCACCTAATCACGTGACCCAAACCAATGTTTTAAATCAGGCTTTAAGATAATGTATCAAACTTCATGCGCAAAATAACATATACTACAGAAATATGAAAGCATTAAACTCACCGTCGGGTTTGAGTTCGCCTCCATGGTCGCCAGCCTGGGTGATACTGGTACTTCTTCAATATGACGGTTGTGTCACGTGATTAGGTGGATGTTGGAATCGGACATCCATTGCTAATGTCTGTCACACGAATTAACATTGGCCATTTTTACAGCGAATTTTTAGACGCTGAATTTGAGACAGCGAATTTGAGCAAGTTGAATTGGAGGACAACGAAAATAATGCATTTGAATTTTGAAAAATTTAATTTTTTATATGCTGAATTTTTTAACACTGAAAATTTAAACTGTGAAAAATATGTATATTGAAAATTTGATCACTTTGAAATAGGAATGTGAATTTTTTTAGTAACTGAAAATTGCAACCATGTAAAAAAAATTACAATGAATTTTTTTTTTAATGTACAAATAATGACTGAATTTTTTTTAGGTTAAAAATATATTCTGAATTTATTTTAATACTGAAAAAGTAAGCACTAATATACAACATTCAAATTTCAGAGGTATTTTTTATTCAAATTCTGATGGCACATATTTACTTCCATAATTACACCCCAGCATCCATATGTGCACCCATTCATGCATACACAAATCAACAGCCACACATGGGCAAACACACACATACTTACTCAAAAACATCAGTGTGTGGGTTTCCCCTTTGGGCATCAAACCACATTCTTCCAAGTTTTTGCAGTGGTTTTACTTTCCTTCTTTTCAGTTTTTTTGAGTATTGCCAGGGACACGGGTCCAAACCCATATACTGATGTTTTTACAAGACTTGGACACACACGTACACACACAGCATCCTGCACACAGAGTGATCTAGCCCTGGTTGACCTACATGCTGGCCTGTGTTGGATATCAGGGTGGAGTTGGCAGTGGACCTGAGCTACTTTTATGAATCTGACAGCTGTTTTCATTGGACATTGATGCATTTACTCTATATGATGCTTTTCCATCTTCCAAAATACTCTTATGAAGCATTAAAAATGCAAGACAAAAAAAGGCTATTCACCATGGTCATATTAGAACCTGATCGGAAGTAAAGATGTAAAAATAGTTTTGCATGGGATAGAACATACAAATCTCTTTTTTTCCGAGTTTAATTATCACAGTAGTTCAGAGGAATGATATTTTCTGCATCATATTAAATTGCTAGTACTAGTAGACCACAGCAACAAGTCTTGTAAACTCTCCTTCTGAATCTGAGAAACGACAGGGGTACAAGATATGTCCTTGTAAAACTTTGGAGAACAATTTATTTTGCACTACACAGATGTTCATAAACACAACTTCAATCCCATTTCACTGCAGAGAATAAGGCTGCAATGGAGAGGAAAACTTACACACAAACACCATATGTACACACACCTGTGCACACACCCTCCTGCGAGTTTATACTCAGATCCACTGAGCCACGGCTTTATACCACAATTTTTTTTGTGCCACAAGAGCCACAAGACCACTTTAAATACATTTCCCATCTTAAAGACTGTACTACCTTACAATGATAGTCAAACTATGCACGCATAAAATGCAGAATTAACCACAGCTTTTACTTTTATATTCAGCAGTATTTCCAGAGGTATGGGCATGCATTAACAGCCAATTGGCCACATGCAGCTATACAGGACGGTTATTCTATTAAATAAATCAGGTGCATTAAAAAAAGAATATGTCTATATGTCATGCAGGCTGTCAGGCACATATGCACACATTTGCATGTGCACAAACTCACACATGGCTTTACCTGTATCAAACAACTGCCTCCTGGTGCATAATGCTATGCCTCTTGGTAATACAAAGTTTGCTTTACACTGTACAGGGACATGCTCTAGGACCCTTGAATTCCTGGTCATGGTATGCAGTCTATTTTATCCTCCTGAGGCTCACTACTAAAATGTTGGCCACCAACACAAACAGTGAACAGGAACATATGCCTTTGAATGAGCCAATGGAACTTTATTTTAAAGCAAAGGCCAGCTAAATTAATCAAATGAAGGATTCTAACAAAGCTTAAATGTAAAAATTCTATCAAAATTCAACAATAATGTCTAAAATGTTTTTAATAAAAACAAGCACACAAGAATAAAAACAATTCAAATGCCAAAACATTTTACTTGACTTTGGAGGAAAGTATTGTTTTAAGTGATAAGTGTTTTCTGCAGTTGACAGATCTATCTGATTCATAGAAGAGATTTAAATGTGGAATTGCAATAAAATCCAGCATGCATCACGCTATTCATGTTGGCCAGTTAAACTAAGAAAATCTCCTGCTATTTTGTCACTACCCTTTAATAAGCATGAATACAAATAAGAAAAATATCCATTCAGTTTTGTATCAAAAACAGCCTCTCGCTTGACTTTAAAAGTACTTTCTATTCAACCAGACGACTTCTTTTCCCAGAAGGCAGAACTTGGGTGACGTTTACGTACGACCACGTACGACGTAGGCTTCAGCCAATGATCTGCTTCTATACACGGAAACAACCAGCAAAGAGGGAAGTTCAGTTTGTTTATTTAGCCGATGTAACAACTTGTTTTCCGTATAAAAGATATGGGAAAATTAATGAGTGTACGTCACTAATGTGAAACTAACAATGTCAGGTCGATGACTTCACGTTCACTTTGAAGGTAAGTTCACATTTTAATCCTCCGTAAACAAGAGTTGGACGACTGCGAAGTTATAAAGTTGCTCACAAGCTAACAACGAAATAAGTCAATTTCTATGCAATGAATAACGATAGTTTTACCTTCGGTACTGTATTTGAACAGTTATGACATACTTCCACATGGACATACGTACAACCAGTTGTACTTAAAATTCCTGGTAACATTTTTCATTCATCAACATGTTACTGTCGAGTGGAGGAAATACCGACATCATGTGGCGCAGAGTTGCTACTACACACAGACGTCGAAATAGACTATAATTGTGAGAAGTCTGCTCAGATAAAGAGTTGTCTATTTATAGTCAGTTTTAGTCAGTTAAATGTATTTTTTACTTTTTAATTTATCTGTTTTATGCTCACACCTTTGTCGGCTCTTGAGCTGCCTTTAAGGTGTTACAAAAAAAACTCCCCTCATAAAGGTATTACATCTTGAACCATAAAGGGTGTTATTGGGCTTACTTCAATGGTGATCTTTTAATATTTATTTACTTATTCAATTATTTATTCATTGATCAAGATCAATCCTGTCTAAGAAATAGGTGTAAATGATCAATTTACTTGCTTTTGAGAAATAGCACCAATTAAATGAAAAGTTAATACAAGAAGAGGGTGATTGGGTATGTATATACATATACATATATATATATTTATATGTATATAAATATGTATGAAATCTGTAATTGGAATTGTTTCCAATATGACTTATCATTGCTAGTTGTTTTGCAGTGGTTCATTTTAGAGTCATCCAACACTTGCTGTTTAGTCAAACTTAATCAGTTGGATATCCCTGATCTGGACATGATTACTTGATAACTGTGGATACATGTATGATAGGTTGAAGGAATTTAAAGGTATTATTCCTCTTTTCTCAGCATGAGCATATTGCAGGTTGCAGGTTGGTCCTGAGTACAAACACTGGAGAAAGGGAGACATTTTATTAATTCGACAGAGAGTTCTGACTCATACCTTTAATCCACAACCTTATGGAAACTGCAACATACTGAAAAAAAGTACATTTTCAGAAATTGATGTTTAACTGATTTGGTTATGTTAAAATAATGTCAATAATCTCATAATTAGAATGACAAACTCAGTGAAGTCCAAAGTCCACAAGCTCAGTTGAACAAATCTTTAAAAAAAAAAAGATAATATTTGACCAGTCACATCTCGTTCCTGCTCCAAAATGTGTTCAGCAAACACTGGAGCTGCTGATGAGGGTGTTAGTGTGCCATACATATTTGTCTGTATGATATCCCTCTCATCAATAATGAAGTTTTGCTTACTGCACCATATGTGTGTCTGCCAGCGTACAAGTCTTATATAGAGACTTTGTATAAGTTAAGTGTTATTTGTGTGCTGGGTATATTTTTTCTTTACTTGCCTCTGCTTTACTGAAAACTGAGCCCCTAAGAGGCAAGTCAACAAGAGGCGTTTGTTCCTAATTTTGTTTGGCTTTTTTCCTCCTTGAAAATGAGTATTTGTATATTCACATCAGCGTGCCGTAGGGGCTTTCCAGCAGAGATGATGGCAAGACATTAAACAAATCGTGTGTAACGAGGTGATCGTAAAATACAACCCTGTGGTGTCCCACACAGACCTGTCATTATAGCAAAAAAAACACAAAAAAACAACAAATACACACATACACCATTCTCAGGCTATATACGGACATGAAACACATCCTCACACACACCCTTGGGATCTGCCCCCCACGTTTTTTTTTTTTCTCCATCTTCATAAAAGTTGAAGAATGTACTGTTTATTTCTCAGTAGGCCTTCATGAATGTGTGGGAGAGGACTTGTTTGCCCGGAGCTGTGCAATCTAATCATTAAATTGTGGTAATAAGAAGTTAGAATAACCGGATTATCACAGTTTGCCTCAATTTATTTTTTTTATTATTATTTCCACCTATGTTTGAATTAGCCACCGGTGCTCTCACAGGAAGTTATGTGGGATGCAGGCCACATGTGCACATATTAAACTATTAAATTAGCAGGTTGGTTTTATCATCTATCAATGGTTTATTTAAAATGATTTTATATTAACGAATGGCACATTCTATTGTTTGCTTTATTCATTTAGTATTTAAAAAAAACTACCAAACCAATACATCAATGTTTGATGTGTTTTTTAATTAGAGTTGCAGTTAGGATGAACTTGATGGTAAGGATGCGTGCGAATGAGTGGAGACTTGATATTAATGAAAACTGTCAATATTTTCTCAAATCTTAATATGGTATAGACTATATACAGCTGTGCTCATACCCCTGCAGAATTGTTGCTTTCTTGGCTGTTTTTCAGAGAAAACCTTCACACAAAAACGTTCTTTCCATTCATGGTTAGTGTTTGGTTGAAGCCATTTATTGATAAAAAACTGTGTTTTCTATTTTCAAATCATAACAACAGCAAAAAACATTCAAATGAGCTTGATCAAAGGTTTACATACCCCAGTTTTTAATACTGTATTTCCCCCTCTAATGTCAATGACAGCTTGAAGTCTTTTGTGGTAGTTGTGGATGAAGCTCTTTATTTTGTCAGATGGTAAAGCTGCCCATTTTTCTTGGCAAAAAGCCTCCAGTTTCTCTAAATTCCTGGGCTGTCTTGCATGAACTGCGTGCTTGAGATCTCCCCAGAGTGGTTCAATGACATTGATGTCAGGAGACTGAGATGGCCACCCCAGAACCCTCCCTTTGTTCTGCTGTAGCCAGTGACAGGTCAATCTGGCCTTGTGTTTTGGAGCATTGTCATGGCGGAGCATCGAAGTACATCCCACACGCTGCTTCCAGGCTGATGAGTGCAAATTTGCCTCCAGTATTTGTTGATAATGTGCTCCATTAATTTTCCCCTCAACTTTAACCAAGTTCCATATGCCTTTGTAGCTCACATATCCCCAAATCATCAGCAATCCTCCTCCATGCCTTACAGAGAGAATGGTGTTACTTAAATCATCGGCCTTGTTGACCAAAGGTAGCATTTATGGTTGTGGCCAAAAAGTTCAAGTTTGGTGTCATCACTCAGAATGACCTGATTCCAGAGGTTTTGGTGCTTGTCTCTGTGCTGTTTGGCGTATTCAAGGCTAGATACGTTGTGGCATTTGGGCAGTAATGGCTTTCTTGTGGCGACTCGACCATACAGCCCATTTTTCTTCAGGTGCCTCCTGGTTGGGCATCTTTGTTCATCTTATCAGGCCAAAATCACCAGGGTATGTACATTTTTGGATCAAGGTCATTTGGATATTTCTTTGTTGTCATTATGATTTGAAAATATAAAACACAGTTGCAACACCATGAGTGGAAAACAAGTCTTTGTGTTATCATTCATATCTTTGAAAAAAGGCCAAGAAAGAAAACATTCTGCAGGGGTATGTACACTTATGAGCACAACTGTATAATGATGTTTTTATTCTCAAGTTCTAATTTAGATGTTTTTGATTTACCTTATTTAGTTACAGACTTTTGGATTGCTGTTTCACGATTGGTTTATTCTTTTGTCATTTTACTGTATTGTGTCAGGCTCACCCTGGTCCTGACTCTACTTAGCTCATAATTGATTTAATCTGTAGGCCCTGACACTGGAAAAAGTAATTTCTGCATGAATTCCTCTTGCAGAGTCAAATGGTGTTTTTGCTTTTTCCGTTTTTAAGGTTACGGTAAATCTGCTCTGTGCAGTTTTCCCGTCATCAAGTTTCCAAGAAACCTTCCTTGTGCTGTTTTGTCCAGCGATTCATGCAACTAGACGGATAACATTAAATTAGTTATTACGTGACTCATTTGTTTGTGGGGATGTCTTCTGCCCATGGCAAAACCCAGAAAGAATTATTTAAGTTCCATGTGGTCATCATCAAGAAAATATGTACATAATGTTAGCAGAAGTTTCACACACGTCCTGCTTGTTGTGCAGAATCTTTATATGAATCACTCCTCTTATCACTAAGTGATAAGGAGATGACAGAAAATATTGTGTTTGATTTTTACATTACATTTCTTTCACAGTGCATGTAAATTTCCCTGATAATCAGCAAAATGACTGATCTGGAATCAGTGAGCAACCTCCAGCAAACAGCCGAGTCGAATGTCCTGGTGAATGTCCAGGAGATGCAGTTTCTCTTGGACAAAGCAGTGGCATGGGGCCAGGCCGACAGTCCAGACACTCTAAAAGATACCTGCCTGCACTTGAACAGACTGGAAAATTTCCTCCAGCAACTTCTCACCTACATCAACAGTATGGTAAGCAGATTTACTGAAAAGCTAAGCTTGTATCCTCACAGTGATTTTGGACAGAAGTGCACGCTTGATGAATCTGGTTTGCTCTTTTCTTACATATTTTCTGCCTTCTTGGTCCATTAGGAGACCTCTTCTCTCTAGATCAACACGTTGCCTAATGAAATAATTTGAACATTTAATACTTTCTGCTCAACAGCAGCTGTCCGATTAATGTTGCATAAAATTGATTAATACATGCAGGTTTATTGACCCAAACTTGCTCAAGCGTAGTCTTTTGGAAGCAGGGCTTAAACACCTAGTGGAGCAATAGCAGTGCTCCGCTAACAGAAGCTGCTCTGTGTGGTGCAGAGGCTGCGTATGTCTGGCTGGCAGCGCTGCAATGTTGAGTTAGTCAGGTAATAGCCGCACTGGGACCGTGAGCGCTAACCTAATGTATCCCCATATCAGGCCCAGCAAATCTGGGAAAGGGGCCGAGGACAGGGGGGCTGCCGTACCATGAGATTTTGGCTTTACACTGGTCAGGACACCCCCTCACTGCCTCCAGTGAAGTTTTTCTCTAATCATATGACTTTCTTCTTATTTCATCACATTTGTCTGAATGATTTTTATGTGATTGTCATCATGATGATATCCTTGCAAATTTTAATTTGAGTCCTGTACTTTTACTGCTACACAGAGTCAACCATTAGAATCAGCTCCAGTGTTTTGGGATGGTTTGGCAGTAATCATTATATTTTCATTGATTAAGCACTGGCAGCAATTTTTTTGTGTCTGGTCACTTTCCTGTTAGCATTATTCTGAGTGTACGTCATGCTGTGGGGTCAATGTGTGTAGAACAATAGAGCAGATACTAAAAAAGATACAGAGAAACAAAATGGTATAGCTTAATTGGGTTGAAATCCTTTTTTACTGGCATTGAGCTCATAAAAGACCAGCTGAGGATAGACTGCTTCTTGGCAGCATTTTGTATCCTTTGATAACTTTACAACTTTCCTGTGGCTTATGTCTCAAGATGAGAAATACCCCTATTGTTAATTACCAGGTTTATACTTGGTTTAACAGTGGAGGATGTTTTCTATCTCAGAGCTGCCTTTCATATTTGAGTAGTTACAATACAGGCAATATGCTGATTTCATCATATTTGTTCCTCTAGCGTGATGCCGGGGCTTGAATGCAGTTGGTTTTGTGTAAAAAGCTATTTCTAAGAATCCTGTAGGACTAAGGGATAATGCATAGTAGTTTGCACGTCTGTCCCTGCTAAAGAAACTATGCTATTTGCTGTTAGGTTTACTTAGTTTGCATCTGCATTGCATTGATTTTTAGGGACAGAAGTGTTACCTCAACAGTGCCTTTATTGTTGTCTGTAAACTTGTCCCATTAGGCTCCTCGATCAGTACATAATCAGTCACTTCTGTCTGAGATGTTTCTCTCTAATCAAAACAAGATGCATGGCCTAGAACCCATTCATAATTACGGACAGCGCTGGCTAGCCTTTGATGCTGAATGTGCCCTGGTAGTCAGTCATAATTGCTTTGTTTTGTGATGGCTCACTCTTCTAGGCATTCCTGCAGTCGCAGAGCATTGGGCAGTTTCTATTGTAAACTACCATTCCTTTTCTGTTGCATCAGATTACACACATACACACTAAAAACATTTCTGCATGAAGTGTGAAGGCTGTGTAACAGACGTCGTTGGTGTTGTTGTGGAGCATAGTGGGAGCCTTTAGTCAGACGTTGCTTGGCTTGTTACCATTACGCCTTGTGGTAATGGTGATCTCATCATCTTGAATGAATCAAGTTTTTCTGTCCTCTTAACAGTCTGATGATTTTTAAAGGCCTAAAGCTGTGTCAGGTTGCCCTTTTCCCCCTAATGATAAAGTTCTTTAAAAGCTGCTCTCTGTAAATTACAACGTGGAAGAAAAATGCCAGTTGTATTTCCTCTCTTTTTCTATTTCCTGCTTTGCCAGTTATTCACTCAGAAGGTCCTAAGCTAGTAATGAAATATCTGTGTCTGACCTGTTCTTACAACATAGAACCACAGATAGCTGGACTGATATAATGAATGGGGTTGTAGGTAGATTAAAACACCATATAAAAATCTTGAGGAAATTCCCCCATCAGATGCAGTGTAGTAGGTATAGCAGTAAACTCTGGACTTGACTGTCAGTGCTTTCACCTGTGCTCTGATTATGTGTTTAGCAGCAAAGTCAAGATGTGCAGATATCACATTTAAATGATTTCCTACTAAATGTAAAGTTTTATCTTATAGTTCCAATCAGTCTGGCTCTATGACTGATTAAATGTGTGTTCCTGTATACATGATAAAAATGTTAAACAAAGTAATAGTTTAGATTGATTTTTAACTGGATCATAAAAAACCGAGCTTCGCTGTATTTCTTTGTCGATAAGTTAGTTAACATAAATTAATGGCAACACAAGATGGTTTATTGTTCATGACAAAATCATTTTCATGTCACGGCAACTTGTTTTAATCATACTAGCTATCAATTTCTTCTGTTTTCATTGCACCTTTAAAAATGACTAATTTCTTTAAACACATCAAAAATGTGGACACATGAAAGGTAGGTGTGCCCCAACATTTTACTAGTGCTGTATATGTTACTGCACACATGTGCAGATATGCTTGTAAGTTTAAGTAATGCGTCACCTCTTTGATGTTTATTTTACACGTCCGAGCCTATGATCCCAATGCAGTCATCCTATTAAAAGGTATTAAAACCCAGAAAAGAAATGGGATGGATAAAACATAATAATGTACACCTGTTTACAGAGCTTCATAAATGAAAAATTATGCATGGATATTTTCAAAAGTTTTGATCCATTGAAGACATCTGTCTCAGCCTCCAGCTGGTACAAAAAACTGATGTGTTCTTCTGCTGACGGACACATGAAATGCATGATTTTGTTATAGTGAAATAGAAGGTGTAGTGTAGGTGTAGTCTGGTTCTGTTTAACATTAAGAAGAACTTAATTGATGAGATGAGGGATAAACAAGCACGGACATACTGATATTTCTTACAAGTAAAGCCCAGTTGTGTTTTCTGTACGCCTCATCAGGAAACTACTGCCTCAGCAATATACCGTACATCTCTCTCTGTATTTTACCTTTTCCGTTTCACACATCAAGCAGAGCTATGGCTGTCATTGGTATCCTCTAATCTCTTGTGTTTTGGTTTATTGTGGCTTTGTTATCAAAGAGATTAAAATGGAGGAGACTGGATCAGGTGATGAGGTGAAAACATTTGTATTACTGCGTAAATATGAAGTCACAGTGACTTGTCTTTTTTGTTGGTAGCCTAGTCTGTCATATTTTAGTTGAATGATATGCTTCATGGAAAAAACATTTAAAAAATGTGGCTTCCCCGAGGTATTGAAGTATTCGAAATTGAAAACATGTACAACATTAAATCAGTTTCTCTTTTCTGTGATTCTTTCTGTCTCTAAGAAATCCACAGCAGAAACCATGAAGAAGCTGCCCTTTCTTGGCCAGTTTTTAGGCCGGCTGTGCTGGAACCCTTGTGTCACTGCAGGAGGTGAGTGTATCATCTGGACACTCTATCAGGGGCGTTTCGAAACTCTGACACGGTGTGTCATGTGCTGTGTGTTGGTGTTTTGGATGCAGGTACAAGTCGAGGGCTTCTCCTCCAGTGTCTGTTGGGACTGTACTCGGAGCATCCAAGCAATGCTGTAGAAAGAAAAGCAAACCAATGGATACGGGTATGAACTTATATCTGTCATTATTATTAAATATTGTAAATTTGTTAAAATAATTGCTAAATAAAGGAGAATCTGACACATTATTTTTCATCGACTTCTAAAACAGCATATTAAATCAGGATAGAAAACATTTAGTGAAATTCTGCTAGCATTCTGTGAACACTTCCTTCTGGATTTAAGTAAACTTCATAATTCATCATACAAATTTGCTTTTCAACTTTTCCTATTTACGGTACTGTGAACACAGCATGGTGTAAAAGCTGAAAAAATGTGGAGACTTATTCTTCTTCACGCTGCATCTTTGACAAAACAGTATTTTCCTTAGCCAAATTCCCCAAAAATCTGTTCTTAATCATCATTTTTTTCTGTTTTTTTTTGTGGGTAAAATCAGAAGTTGCTATTGAAAATCAGCCCCTTTAAACTGAGCGTCAGCTTGGAGTGGAAAGCATTTCCAAACTGAGGCTCTGTTTGAACAGAATCCTGAATTTATAACATGCTGTCATAAGACGAGTACGGTAATCTAAAGACGATGTCAGCTGTCGTCCATAATCTCCAGTGGAGACCGTTCGGAGCAGCAGCGCGTAATGTTCTGATATCAGACATAGCTCAGTCATTAACTACATTAACTATTTATCTCTTGTGCGTTGAACCTGGGGAGATTTAGTGATGGGACACTCGCTACTGGTTGTGCATGTTGTGACTGTAATGGTTGACGGACACAATTACTAGGCAGGATCTAAGGGATATTTGTATTTTTGTTTTTAATCTAGAGGCTTTTCTTTTTGGATGAAATTGCTAGTGACTTCATTACCACTTAATGGCTGCCAAATTAATTCTTTCATTACTGGAGTGTTTCATTTGTTTCTGTCGAGGCAAAGAGAACAGAGTTATACAGTATGCAGTGAAGTGGCAAACACTCCCAAGAACATTTATCAATGTTATATCACTCGCTCTCTATTGTATGTAATAGTGTATTTTCTGCGAAATGTCTTCCAAATGCTAACTGTCATATTCAGATCTGGTCTATTTGCTGTTTGTCTTGAATTGTTCTGGACTGACTTGACATACAGATTATTTGGCAATTACACACCATTTTTTAAAAACAATTACTGTTAAAAGAATCTTTCTTTGACTGCCTTTGGGCTGCTGAAGAGATTTTCTGTCTGATTTGCTTTTAATAGGAGTTTACTTGCCAGCTCTCTGCCCCCCCTCCCACCCAATTGGACATGGATGATGAATGAAGTAGATTGTGTCCCTGTTGGCTTATTTTTTTCTGCCTCAAACAGTATAACATATTATAAAATCAAATTAAAAGTGACTGTTTCACTGCCTCCTGTCACCAAAGCAGGATCAGGCCTCATATAGCAGTTTGCTGATCTCTCTCACTGTGCGTTCTCCAGGCTCACACACAAAGGAGGGAAGGAGAACAGAGGGAAGAAAAGATTCTGCAATATTCAACTTTGAGAGGGTTCACACAGATGGCTCTTGATAAACAATGTGGAACCTTCACATTTTTGCCAGATTAACTGTGTGTTTGCATTGCTTTGATTAATTTCTCATCTAATAAAACATCTTGCTAATTAAAACAGTGCCTTGAAAGTAAACCTTGAATTTGCCAGATGGTCTTTGACCCGTAAGAGGGGAAGCAGAGTCCATGTGTGCGCAGTAGTGTTTGCATCTGTTTTCCCATGTTTCTGTTTGGACATGTGTTTTATACATGATGTACTGTTATTGCAAAATGTGCAGAGGTGTGTGTGTGGCATATGGGATGATGAAAAGATAGATTTTTCAAAATCTTTAGAGACTGACTTAGTATTGATAATTGGCTTTTTCTGGTGATTGAGGTGCATACCCCCAGTATTATGTGTGACTTATTTAATTTATATTTGACTTTTTCAAAGCCTACTAGATGGCGAATTTCCACCAACACTGCAGCAACACTGCGATCAACTTGCTCCATTATTTTGAACCAAAAAAAAGCAAATAGCCAACCATCAATTAGACAATCTTACTAAACTAATTTTAGTTTTAATCGTCTGCTGGCTCATGTGATAATCTGTTACGCCACTCCAAATAGTCATGCCTTATCTGCTACAACAAACTCGAAACGGAGGCCTTGTGGATGTGAATGAAAAACTGGCAACCTTATTTCTCACCTCAAATATATAATAAGGGGTATAAGGGGAAAAACTTTGTGTATGTAATAGACTTTTGGAAATAACAATACAGTGACAAATGACCTATTTTCTAATCCATCTGACATTGGGCAGGGTTCATACTTAATGGGTTGACGGTCAATAACAGGGCCACACAGAGACAAAGAACCAAAGACACACATCTTAGAATTGACCCAGAAAGAATAACATATGAGGAGTACAGGCATCCCCAACCTGGATTCAAACCAGGAATTCTCTTGCAGTAAGGTGAAGGTGCAAACCACCTGACCAGTGTTAAGCCCTAGAAAACAACAGAAAGATGTATGAAAATAAAACTTACTGAGAAATGATTGAATAAAAAAAAAAGTACTTTGAATACAACGAATACATAGTATTTAGACATAAGTATCTCAAACAATGAACAAAAAGATGGATACACCTGATTTACTTCTCAGTCTTCCTTGCATATCCACATAATTTTGAGACAAAATCTGGCTTCACATGTATGAATTCTTCCGTCTCTCTTAAATGTATTTTTATGGTACCTGTATTAGTAACTACAAAAAAGACTCCAATCAACTTTAGCCTTTTCTGCAGCTTCTTTTTTTTGGATTCTTCTCCATTCTTCAAAAATACTTCCTCTTGCCACAAATGATGGGAATGGTAGGAAGCACAGAACACTTTTTTCACCACAACTCAGACCATCCGGGGGGAGCAGGGCAGACGTGGGGTTGTAGGCCAGAGATGGTCTGTCGCTGTCTCCCCCTGCGTCTGAGTGTTGAGCTGCTTGTACTGGAATGCAGAGTGCAGCCTGTTTTCTGTTAGCCTTGTCTGATATTCCTCTCCCCGGCGTTGTTTTTAATGCTGAATCTGTAATAAACCAAGTGTCCCACAGTAAACAACTCGAAAATACTCTGTGTTTGATAATAGTGCAGAGAGTAATTCATATTGTGTCTCCGCTTTTGCCCCATCAGCCTCCTTTTTTTTCCCCCCACATCTGAGAGTTTTCGCAGGACTGGATGAAATCTGGGCACAGCCACATAGCTGCAGGCTGCAGTATGTGAGATAGTCATTAACTCAATTGGTCTGTTACTTGACATCCTGTCCTAGCAAAGAGACCACACAGTGCAGCAGCAACATGGCACAGTCTTTGAGTTGATGACAGATAAGTAAAGCTGGAGAGAGTAATATTATAGGGCCGGTGGACAGAACTGTGTGAGAGCTAAATCTTTGATGTGTATCTTTAGTGACTCAAACGTGGTGAACCACAGGTATGCCCTGGAGCCACTGTTGCTGCTTTTTAATTTCAAGATATGTTTTTGGCTATTGAATTACACTTTTTTTTTTGTTGCTTTGAGATTAATGTGGTTATGCCACAATAAAGGCCATCTTTTATCATTCGAATTGTTTTGATTGACAGAAATATTATTAGACCTTGAAGAAGCTGCAATGATTGTTTTCGTCCTTCTCCTTTGTCTTTTTCTTGAGGTACGGTCATATAGTTGAAAAACAAACCAGTCCTATAGATGTTTCAAAGCACTTTTACATAAATGGAAAATGTCTCTGGGTTAAGATGGTAAGAGAAAAAGACAAACTGTCTGCAGTGGTGAAAATACACTGCTTATTAAAATATATTGTTAAACGGGTATTTGCATTCATTGGTTGTTGGTGAACTGAAGTCTTGGTTGACTTCTGCTATTCATTCAGGTTTTATAGTGATTTTCCCTTTTATTTCTCTTAAAAAAAACACATGTCATCTTTTTTTAATGTATGCTCTGAGTACACCGGGTTTGCGTGCAGTGGATTTTAATTTACTATTTTCTTCAGACCTTTTTGTGCTGCTATCCCTCATTTCATCTTTCTTTTTTTTTGTCTCTTGTGTTTTGACCATCTTAGGTTTTACTTAAGTCTTTCATTGGTTTTGGGAGAATTCAATCGCGGCCTAGTAATTGTTAACAGACTTCCATTGAAAAACAACTCAACTCTGTGCTTTATGCGTTTTCTGCATCCTCTGTTTTAATTTTAGATTTATGGAGGGATCATTTCTATGGCAGCAGTCTCTCCCTTAAGCCAACTTTCTGTTTTTTTTCTAAGAGGGAAAGACGGCTTTGACTTGAAATATTTGCCATCTATCTGCCCTTCATCCCATTCTTCTGGCAACCACACCCTTTTTTTACGTGCTCCAGTGCAGCCGTGGATGTGCCTTTCAGTCTGCCTGATATTTCTTCTAATCTCATTCCTCCCTCTCGTTCATCCCCCATTCCCTCTATGCCTACTTACAAACTGTGGGTTGAGCATGATTGGTTTTGTATGCACTCAATGTGCAGGGTTTTAGGACTCTCACATGGTAGTAATTGGGGTTGTTTTGTGAGACTGTGTGGAGGGTTAGCATCTTAGCGTGCTGTAGAGCCTGGCCAAAGCAACCACACAGCTCCACCAATAGCTCTGCAGCTCTTTTCTTCTACCATGGATTTTTTTTGTACTCTTATTTTTTTTTAAGATATCAAGGTTCTCATAGTATCTACGTTTTATCCTTTTCAGTCTTGTTTATCAGTTTCATAAGTGTTTATTTTATCAAAAAAAATCTTTGTTGTTTTGTGGATGTTTTTGTTTTCTAAAGATGTAAATATTTCACTGAATGGTATATCTCATCAAAACAAGACAGTTGTCCCCTCTTCTTTTGCACCAGCATTTCTGGAACAAAATAAATAAATTGTTTTATTTGTTTTTTAGAACTTCTCCTGCATTGTAACTTACTGTAAGGTTATTTGTTCCTCAGTGTTGCTTCATTGTGACCAGCGTCTTACGCAGATGGGAATTGGCTGAGCTAATAGTCTAGTTTATCAGTCCATGATGAGGCCCCTTTAAAAAAAAACAAAAAAAAAAACTTGTAAAACACAAAGGCCCTCTGTAACAAAGAATGTTCATTTCTGAAGTTTCTCATATGCTGTCCATACATTCTCACTTACTGGAATACCTTTTCTCGGCTCATACGTTTTAAATCATGGATGCCGATAGAGTCATCTTATGTTCCAGTAACAACTCGCTTTGATGTAATGACTTTTGGATTTTCTTTTTTATTAAGTTATATCTACTGGAAAGGCCAATTATGGCCGAACTAATCATCTGTTGCACATTCTGTTGCCCTCTCTCCTACAGAAGGTGTTGTGTCAGCTCGCCACAGATGAAGATGATGCTGCAGCTCAAGCATTTATGAGGCGCATGGGAGTACCGGCTAAAGAGTACCATCTCAGAGTACTGCAAAAAGTATGGGCTCTTTATTTTCTCTCCACCTGATTTCTCAAAATCTTGCCTGGATTTATGAAAAATATAATCAAACCATGATGTTTTGTGTGTGAATTTAGCTTTTTTTTCTTTCTTTCTGTTTTTACGTTTCAGATGGTCGCACAGCTGCAGGAAAATATTGGACAGAGTTGCTGCTCTCAAAGCTCCATAGATCAGAGGTAAAGAGAATTCATTCTATCTCTTGCATTCCTGCTTCTGATGGGTTATAGCACACCTTAATCTGTTCTTTTGCTTTTTGGGGCTTGTGATGTAGAAAATGTGATAAATGAATTGCAGAGATATGGCGATGTTGTTACAAAGACTTTTTTTTTTGTTGTTGTGGGTCAGAGAACTTTTTGGGATGAAACTGTTTTTGCCACAGAAGTCCCCAGATGGACAAGGGCCCTAATCAATCATAGGATGGATGGATTCTTGTCTTTCAGGTGTTCATGTGATAGCACCCTGGCCACATCAGACCTTGTCGTCCCCCTCGTCACTTGTCCCGAGACTTTTCCTCTCATCTGTTCTTTGCTTCAACAGCCAGTGGCCTGTGTCAGAGAAACTCTGAGTGAAAACTTCCTTGATACCTTGAGCTTTGCTCACTCAAGGTAGTGGAAAATCCTCTGCTCATTTAGTGCTTGTTAACTGGGCTACTTGTGCTCAAGTCCCTAAATCCAGAGTGCGACATTTTTAATCACACTGTAGCTTCAAACATAGCTACAATCGTCAAATGAATGTACTTTGCATGTTACTTTTTTATTTATATTTACAGATTGCCACTGGAAGAGCAGGGCAGAATCTCTGTGTGGTATCACAGCCTGCCCAGCCTGGAGGAGGCTGTGCTCGGACTTCTTGACTCTGTAACTGAAACACGACCATCACTACTGAAGCTTGAACAAGAAGTAACAAAGTCACTGCTTGTGGGTATCATTTTTTAAGATTATTTTCTGTTAGCCAGGAATGTGGAGCTATCAAAACAAGATAAATATATCACTCATGGATGAAATCTAACTTAGTCAAACTAGACTCCTGGAGGTACCTCAGACTCTAAAATAAATTGTTTTAATTTCTCTTTCATTGTCTTATTTGATAGGGTGGTTGATAAAATATTAAATAATTTAGAACTATGAATTAATATCAGATCTATCATCCTGTTATCTGAGCAATGACTGAGCATTCGAAAGGCTGAGATTGCAAACAAATGTGCATCTACTTACATTTAAAAATATTAAACATTCATGAGTTACTAAGGAAGACTTCTGATGATTTGTTTTATCTTAACAGAGCCATGTGGGATCCTTTTTGTGCTGTGGTATTCTCTGCAGTTTTACTGCTGAATGAATTGGCAACATTTGAAACTGTTGATAATTTGATGATATACTGCTGTTAAATGAGTTTGTTATGTACAAAGTATGAATCATCTGCCTCACATTACAAATGACTGCACAAATCCATATGTGCGTAGCTCCACTTTGAACTGCTTTGGGAACCATGAAACCAAACTTTTATGCCATTTTCATATGCATAGTTCTTGGAAATGTCCAAGACTGTTTTCTGGTGGGTCTTTTCTGACTGTTTTTGCCTGGTTAACACTATTAAGATGAACTCTGCATTTATTTCATATAATCTGGCCAGCTTGGCATTGCATAAAACATTATTCAGCCCTTTGATTCACAACTTTCACCCTGTTGGTTAAATACTCTGTCAGAAGAATCATTGGGTGCCTCTCAATATATGTACCCAACCTCAGATGCAATTCAAAGGTCAGAACTAATTTTTGGTTTTTACATGAATATGTGTTTTTGAAGGCATATCTCCATTACTACAATGTAGTCAGGGAATACTTGCAGTCATCTGGTTGAAAGTTGCAGCTTTTTCCCCTGAAACTGTGATGATGATGTAATGAATGAATATGCCACTACAAATAGACATTTTGATTGCACTCTGTTTGTCAGAGTAATCATGAGTTTACCTGCAGTTTGCTCCAATGACAACAGACTGAATGTGTACGTTGTGTCACAGCCATTTTCCCAGAGTGATGGTCCACTTGAGCTGTGTATGTAGCAATGCACACTTTGAGTTTATGAACTACTGCGTTAAGGCAGATTGTTACCCACTGAAATGCGTGCTCTTAAGTAATGAACACCACATTCTTAAGAAATATGCTTGTTTGATGATCTTGCGCAAATCTGCCAACTTGACTTTGTAGGAACTGAAATTCAAACAAATGTTGTTTGAGAGAACAGGAAGGGAAGCATGGAATGGTATTTCTTGCTTTTTTCAGACATTTATGTTTGACAGTTTCAGGAAAACCTTCAACTAAATATTGTGTTCTTTTCGTTTTAGACTCAGATGGAAGGATATAGTTGAACTTTTTCATACAATAGAATTTGGTTTATGCTTTTAACCTGAATCCGATTTACATTTGTTTTTATTACCTTATTAGGTCATATGCATTTATAACCCTACTTTATCTCTCACACACTCACCGTGTTTTTGATTTTATTTCTGGTATAGTTTGTCTGTTGTTAAGAAGGGAGGGAGGTTTAGGTTTAAAATCTCTGTGGATATGAAGCCCATCCAGGACTCTGGTGTACAAGAACAAACAATGTAAGGAAATTTGAGCAGGCTGGGCCATCTCCTCGCCCCTCTTTCACTGGCTTGTTTAAACTGCAATCAAAAATGGCAAACATGAAATTAGGCTCACATTCTTCATTTTGGCTTGTCTCAACCCCCTGTGATCCAGTAAGAAACGCAGGCCCAATAACAATAAATACTCACATCCTGGCCCTGACTGCCAAAAACAGGATGTTTGTTGCATGCTGTAATTGACCCTCCTTGAAGTGTTAGTGGTAAGGTATGGAGGAGGATGCTAAAAAACCCCCAGCTGTTTTCACCAGAAGGAGCCGGGTCAGTGTACATATGTGCATAGATATTGGCATTACGCATAGATCTTATCCTTATAGTAGATCTAGTTTTCTGAGCATACAAGGAAGAAAACTGAGGGTAGGTGCCCACTTGCTTAAAAGTATTTTGACATAGTAATTACTTCAAATGAGCACTTGGTGGGGCTGTTTTTCCTTACAGCGGATGTAATACTGTCATACTTTGTCAACTGCTCTTAAAGAGGTATGCAGATTGTGTGATCTTAGTAATTATGTAAAAACATGTTATTGCTCACTAGCAGTCAGTTGTTTGTCTGGTCAAAACTGCATCAATGGAAAATTTCATATGTTTTGAACCACTGGTGCAACTAGCAGCTTTAAAACATTCAACATAAACATTGAATAGCTTGAAAAACTGTTTTTTTCTTTCTTTTAAAACTTCTGTATTGGCCTGCAGGAGTAAAACTGTAAGGCAGAAGACATGGGGTGCTTCTATAGTGGAGCACATGCTCTTATATGAGTACAGTGTTGAAGGGGGGATAATTAGAAACGACAAAGATATACACAGTACAGCTGTTAAATGTTTGCGCTGAGGCATTTTAGAATGTGTTAAATCTAAAACACATGATAAGTGTGTATTAGGAGGAGATGGGAAAGCATGAATGTGGGTGTGTGGAGAAAGGATTGACAAAGTGGTAAGCTGAGTGTTTAATGGTGAAGAGATTGAGAACAGAAGTACTAAGGGGGGAGACCCTGTATGATGTAAGAGTGCCATCCAGTGGATAAAGAGATTCACTTTATAAAGGAAGAACATTCATTTAATTTTACAGTTATAGTCCATTTTATTTCGACCATTTTCTTTTACCCCGAACATACTTGCAATATACAAAAAAAAAAAGGAGAAATTGTGTTAGTTTTTTTTTATAAAAGATTAGACTATACATGCTTTTAAACATATTAGTCTACTCAAAATTAAACAAAACCGAGCTGGTATTACAAGGCTAAAAACAGTCAGATAATATAGATGGAAGTCATATCATCCCTTCATGTCGAGTGTTGGTCCATTGAATTGGCACTGTTGATCTGCAATTGTATGTTGATTCATCTGTCAAAGAATCTGACTGACTGTTGTAAGGTGTAAGGCTTCTAAGACTTTGCAATTTTGTGTTTTACAGCCCAAAGCTTGTGCTCAGCATTGCTCAATGTTTCTGGTTGCAAATGACATCTTCAGGTAAGAATGCTGAATGCTTTAAATGTCTATATATATATATATATATATATTAGCTGAAATTCCTTACAATTGGTTTTAAATGTACCACATCATAGTTGTGTATGTTTGTGCTTGATTTGGCAGGTCTGTTATCAAGCAGGCTGAGGGAAACCAGTCTGTTAAATCTGTTATCCATACCTTCACAAGGTGTTTCTGGAGGGAACTGTCTCTACTGAAGCCTCAAGTAGGTCTCCTTATCTGCCCAACAATGCATTTCACACATTATTAGCCTGTTTCTGCTTTCGTTAATTGAATATTATTGGTGGTCATTTTTCAAAATCTGAAAAAAAAATGGAAAGGCCAATTATATTATTTGAATTAAGTTTACATCTCGTTTTGACTCCTTTAACATGTGTAAACAGTATGTAGCTCATGAAAGACAGCTATATCAGTGTATTGCTTTTTTTAATTTAGGGTGCCACTGCTAACTGGTGATCAAGCAGTTACGACATATGCCTCTTTGTTGTTGAAAACCACTTAAAATGAGAATTTAAGCTGGAAAGGAAGAAGTTTGAAGTAATAAAACATTTCCTAGAACATCTAGTCGAGCGCCCTGTAATTGAACCCAAAGAATGGTTATTATGAATACGCACAAGGGAGTAAAGTGTTCTCCATGTTTTTGCCGTCAGTTATGCTTATAACTTTTCATTTGATTTCCTGCTGGGAGCTCACCGGTCACACTATACACCCTCCAGCTAACAACTTATTTGCCCAGTATTATCGACAATATGTACACTGATGTGTTACACTATTTTATTTTTCTTATTTTTTTCTTACTGCTGCTAGCTTTCAACCTTTGTACATTTAAAAAAAATCCATTTACAGATCCTGTGTTATTATAAGGAATTATTTGGCCATTGCATGTCAGCCAGAAACAGATTAGTTGATATGTTTAGCATTCTGCAGCTTTGGTAATACAGTTGAATCCTTTTCCCTTCTGTTAAACGGTAGATGGCAGTGACACTGTGTGATTGGGCCGACCTCAGTTTTTAGTGGCTGTCATCACACTAAACGCTTCCTATTACACGCCACATTACACATTTGCACCTATTGTGTCACCTTTATGCAGCCTCCAATTCAGAGGTTCATTTTTCAGTTGTCGAAGCAGGAGGATGTACAAGTTGAATACCGGCCTGATTTCCACTGATAAAGCTCCGATTTTTCTCTTTGTTTTGGTTCAGACGTCTGCATCTTTAAAGGCCTTTTTCCCACAGTCGCCCCCCAGTCTGCTGATTCCCCTCTTGACCATGCCGTCAGGTAAGCAAGCACATCCATTCTCACTTTGTGGGTCTGTCAAAGCACAAAAGCTTGCACTGTGGGTGAGAGTGTAATAAAGTGTTCTTTAACATTCTGTCAACAGTTTTCCTTCTGCAGAATCAATGGACTCTTCTGTGTCTTGTTCTTCCTAATCAATAGTTAGTTAGTTAATAACTACATAAATAGTTTAAAATTGGATTTAAAAGTCAACACGGTGTGTGATTTCCTTTGTGAAATCTTTAGATTTTAACTGCTGATCGTGTTACAAATTCACAAATGTATCATGTTCAGAGGAATTTGACTTTAACAGTGTTACTGTATCGCCTGTGTTATGTCAGAGAATCTGTACCATTAAAGAGATGTGCAGTAGGTGAGTGCTGGAGCCCACTTCTGTGCTGCTTATCAGTGTGTGTGCAGACTAGCCGGTAGGCAGGAATTATTTACATGAATGGTGCCTTTTAGGGACACACTGGAGCAAAGCCAACACTCGGAGTTAATTATTTCTGTGCATGTATGTGTATGTGTTAGTGATGAAGGGCAATTTTTCACCAGGGACTGAGTGAAAATGGATATGTGAAAAGCAAAAGAATTTAGGCTTGTACTCCCTCAGAAAGAGGCACAAGTGAAAATCTTTGGATTGCATTTTTAATACATCGCCTGAGGGAATAGTAGATGTTGTCAAAGTTTGGTAAGGCTTGACTTGGCTTGATTAGGCTCTTGGAGAGACGGTATTTTTCCTGAATATGGAATTTGACAAACACCTCTAGTTGGCTGTAATTGTGTGAGAATGAGATGAAGTAATTACAGTTTATCCAGTTCTTGTGGCAAAATACAGCAGATGTGCCTAATAGTTTGACTAGTGTTTTTTTCCGCATCTCTCCGCCTGTTAATTAGATGGGAAGATTGGCATGAATTTGATCTCAACTGTACAGTAAATCTAATGATTCGGCCATTGGGCACAGATAATGTAACTTGGCACAAAAACAGCAGTAGGAAGCAAGTAGTCGGACTAACTGGGCACCATGAGAGCTCTCTAGTCAATCACTTACAACCGATGTGTAAATGTTTAAGCTCATTTGAAATCTGAACTGACTTGCTTACCGATTCAGTTTATTTAGTTAGTCATTTTTGTGCATTTTATGACATTGAAAGCACAAGAAACAACTATAATGAACAAGAGAAAGAGTTTACCTCATATAAATCCAAATAACTTTTACATTAATAATGTTAATTCAGGTCCAGTCATTTTCTCTCTTGTTTTAAGAGTTTGTGCTCCTGCAAGGTTGGTCTTATTTTTCATGCCTATCACGGTCATAGCTATTTACCACACAGACATGGCATCAGTTTCCATGTTCTTATCTAATTTTTGTAAACAATGTTTTACATTTTTTTTACATTACATAGTTGTAAACACTTAACTAACTGATAGATGTTATATACGATAAATATGATGATAAATACTTATGCCACAAGGAATCATTATGATATTAATACTGAATATGATCTTGCAGAGATGCCTCGGGAAGCTTGGAAAAATCACTCAAAGTGGCTCAGCAGCTCATTACAGAAACTGACAGAGGAGGAGGAGGGAGATGGAGACAGCACAAGCACCAGGTTAGTGGGAGAAAGGCATGGAAAGAGAATTTCCTAATGTGTGTCTGCTTCCATCACCAACTGAATGCCTTAGTAGAGTTCCTATTTCCATTAGTAGCTGTAGAGAGGGTGGTTAGTCTGTAATCTTCCCCTGGCATCATTCTACATAGCTCTATGTGGCTTCCCAAGCATTCATTAGAGAGTTAGCTTGAGAAAGAGTGCATTTTGGGGAAAATGTGAGTTGGGAGCTGAAAAGCACTGAGAAAAGTTATGGAGAAGAAGAAACAAGGTAAAGAGAGGGGGACTGTCTGAGGAACTACAGAGAAAGTGACTGTTTATTCAATTCTGTGCTTATTTACCAACTAAATTGTACCTGTGGATCTCCTGTGTGTGATTTCTACCACCTGGCTGGATCTCTTACCTGAAACCCATTCAGGAAGTGAAAAATACCAAGCCTCCTTGGTCAATCAAGGACCCATTGTCTAGGGAAGCATTCTGACCTATCCTCCTCAGGCCTTGGTTTTGTCTGCCTCCCAGGGGGTGGTCTCAACCAGCATCTATCAATAACACAGAACAGTTGCATGTGCTTGTGCATTTGCTGCCTTTGTGTGCAGCCTTTTCTCGTGCGACCTCCGCTCTTCCAAGTATCGGCACCTTCTCATCTCTGGAGGTTAATGATGCCACAGAGTCACTCTGCTCAACACTGAGTTCCTGCTTGGATCAATTGTGTCCACTGACTACCAGACCTGCAAGACCCAGGCAGTCGCACTCATGGCTGACTGACTCCCTCAGATCAATGTGCACTAACCTTAGAGCTGCGGAGAGAAGATGGCACAAAACCCATCAGATCTGTCACATTTCCAGACATTGCTCTCATCCGTCTCCTCAAGCATCACCGCTGCAAAAAAGGAGTTTTGACAGGACAAAGTCCACAATGCTGCTGACTCCCGGAAGCTGTTTTCGACATTCAAATCTCTGTTAAACCCTCCACCTCCTGCAACCAACTTCATGCCAACTCCTTCACCGACAAAGTGGCGGCAATCCACCCAAATGGAGAACTAAGGCCGGTCCCCCCCCTCCCCTCAAATCAGGTCACAAAAGTCCTCTCCTGAACCTGAATTCATGACACTGTCCTTTCCTCCAACGTGAATCTCATACTGTCTTTCTGACACATCTGCATGTAAACCCTCTTTTTGTAAGTCGCTTTGGATAAAAGCGCCTGCTAAATGTAAATGTGCTTAGAGTAAACAAAACAGACTAACAAAGCAAATATTATATTGGCATGAAAAAGAGAAAAGCAGATAGGGTTCATTTGGTTGGATGTCTTTACAGAAAAAGGAGTGCAGAGATTCCAGATAAAAAGCAGAGCACATTTGATGTCCAATAAAGATGAAGAGAACTGACTTGATACTCTCCAGCTGTGCCTTTAAACAGGGGCCATTACCCCCACCACCCCTTTAGTCCAAGCTCCATACAAAACTCCCAAAAAGTTGTTCCAAGCCAACAGAGGGGATGTTTTTTGGTATTACTGCTGCCAAGGCCCTGCAGAGGGTTGCTGCTGTTCAAATGTTGAAGCCAAGGGGGGAAAAGGCCGGATGATGAGGACAGCTCTAATGATGGTATTAGGGAAATCTGAGAATATAATCTTTACCCTTCAAACTTCAGATCATTCTTGCTTTTGCAGCTGCACAGCGGTTAAGTTTGCTGCAGCTCTCAACCAGTCTAAACCTTCAATGCGCATTCTAGTTTCATTTTACCGCACTGAATCTTATTAATCATTTTCAATAATTGACAGACCAATTCAGCTTGTGTGTGCCGTTTTTTACATTTTCTTGATTTGTTTATTTTTTGTTAAGGTATTATGGTATTGTTTTGGCTATTTTTCTTTTTTTAAATGTATTTATTTGTAGTTCAAGATTTTCATTCCACTGCAGATTTAGGTAATTCTTAATTCAACTAAAAAAATGCAGACAGACATGACAATTTTAATTAATCCTCCACAGTCTGAAGTATATAATATATTAAGAAATAACATAACATCTCAATCACATGTGTATGATGCTCTTCACTGATTATTTAAGTTTAGAATGTCAGTCTGGTGCCACACATTAGATCAAACACTGACATTCACTGAAGTTCTCATGCAGAACTGAATTGAAATTTTGCGTGTCTTGATTAATCCACACAGAGTTTTGAATCAATGGAAATGACCCAAGTTACCCTGTTACATTTAGGTTTTTAAAACAGTTATGACCTTCATTTCATTAACGAACAGTAAGGATGTCAGCGTGTCCGAATCTATTAAAATACTCCCCTATCGTCTTTATGGTCAACTTTTACGAAGTGTTAGGACAGCAGCAAGACTTTTAATAGTTGCGCTGCCAATTACTAGTTGTACTTTGAACAGTGAGTCGCTGCAAAAGTCGGAAACTTGTTCAGCTTGGAAAAACTGAGCACGGAATGGGTTAAGTGCCAGGCCGTGAAGTCAGACCACCCTGTTCCCCCGTGTTATGAGCTGTTTACAGCTCTGTTTGTGTTGGGGATTTATGCAGTTTCACTCTGAGATACATCTCATATCCTTCTTTTTTTAGATTTCCAGTGATAAGTAAAGGGAGGGTGGATGTGTTCCTTTGAAGTTATGTCTTGAATTGACCCATGCAGCATGTACTAATGTGATCTTTTTTTGTACTTCCACTTGTTAGCAGTCCACCTGTAGTGTTGAACCTAGCTTCTCCTCCTGCCCTGTAGGGGGCACCACAGCGTGTTTGAGGCCTGGTTCCTGCTGGTTCAGTGTGAGCACTGGGTGCAGGTGGCAGCCCAGCTTCTGGTTACATCTGGACCCGAGGACTGCCGTCCCCTCCTGTGGCTGCTGACCTTCTACCACCACCCTACCAACAGGTGGCACCACAGAGCTTCACAGCTGGTAAGAGGGCTCTCCGGAAATAAACGAGGAAAGTTCTGTTTCCATTTTGGTAGCCTTGGTACTCCACCAGTGCTCTACTCTTGTATTTTGTCTGAAAAATGAGCTAAAACCCATTGGAAATGAATAATGTTGAACTATATCAGTTTTTTTTGGAGCAAAACAGTAAAGAACAAAAAAAGGACTGAAGTTCTAAGTGGGGGGCTGGATTTGTGAGACACGGGAAAGCAGAGTTCACACATTTTCAGCTGCCCTGTGCTGCATCATAGCTCAACAAGGAAATGAAGTGGGATCTTTGCTCCAGACAGACGGCTGCTGCTGAAAGTCGCAGAAGAAGAAGAAGAAGAATAACACATTAAAGAATAAATAATAGATGACCCCCATCTGAGAGGCAAAGAGTGAGACAGTGGCGAGAGTTGGCGATACAGATGGGGGGAGCTGGGCGAAAAGGGCGATGTAGTATTGATTTCTCAGTGAGTGTCTGGCCAGCTGGCCTGAGTTTCATCTCTCTGTCTCCGGTTTGTCCGCCTCCTCTCATAAACCTCAGAGACCCGCCGCTGTTGCAGCCATCTCCCCCCATCACAATTATACGTTCAGCGCCCATTAAGTTGTCTTCCTCGATTTTTTTGCAAATTGCTGCCGCATTGATCTTCATTTGCAGGAAAGATCAGAGCATTTCTTGAGTAAGAGCCACGATCTTTTTGTCACCAGGAAAAAGCCAAAGCGGCATGGGACCATCTGCACGCTATTTCCTCCGACTTAAATGATCCTCTTCCTGTTGACCGGCTGCAGTCACTGATCGCTCTGCTCTCACCACAACCTCAGATGCCACCACCGGCTTCATCGCTGATCCTCAGCCTCGTGGTTGAGTTTGCAGTTTTCTGCCAACTGCCACTGAGGGCCGCGACAGACATTTTGAAAACGGTGAGAAAGCGGCTTGATTTCCCTTTAAACTAAACCATAGCCATTTCTAGATACATTTTGTTATGTTGTATTTACAAACCCTTACATGAAGCTAGATTTCAGGGGAAATTTTACTGCTAAACACTTCAACTACATTTAAAAAAGAAAAACACACCAGAAATACCCCAGTAAAACTCATCACTGTCATTTTGATGGGATAAGAGTATCCCGAAATAGTCATCTTGACCAAATCAGGTAACAATCCTCTGTTAAATGTTAAAAGTGTGGTAGGATCCACCAAACTAAAGAGGAAGGCCTCTTGTAGGTTAATTAAATGTTCAATGCACAACATTTCTACATCAGTAGAATGCAGAAGAACATACTTCTTTTTTTATTTTCTGGAAAAAAAATGAATTGATTGAAATTGTAATTTCAGTTGTAAATAATTTTGCCTCGCTTTAATCGTTCATATTGGCCTTTTAAGTAGCAACAGGCTGTCCTTGTGTGTGTCGGTCCAGGTGGTGGCTCAGCCTGGTCTGTCTGAAGAAGCAGCTTGTGTTCTCAGCTCACTTCAGCTCAGACTGAATGAAGGAGGCTGCTCATCAAGCGACAGAGTTCAGCTCAGGATCAACCATCTCCAAAACACATTAACAGACGTGAAAGCATAACAAACCACGCACACTGTCCCCAACAGGTGAGAGCACACACCCACAAACGGAGTCAGCCGCTCAGCAGCGAGCACATCCTCACGCCAGCGTTTCGGAAAGCACTTTTACTGGATGACAAGCTGTTGTGTAAATGTGCTGCTCTGATGACCGGAGTGTGTCGAACAACACAAAAAACAGATTACTGTATGTTGGGTGGATACAGCTATAGAGGCGCGCACGCACACACACACACACATACACACTCGCACGCATAACACATCTAAAAGTTCCACAAGGACACTTGAACAGTGACAGATCACCCTGTAAAGAAGCAGCAGCTCATATGTGTCAGCATCCGCCCACTCACTGAATTTTCTGTCAGCATTAGTCTTTCACACACAGCCTGGATGAAAGACATAGGTTTGAAGGCAGGAAAAAAACAAACTGCAGCTTATTTTTCTCCTAAAAATTATTCCTACCTGGAAAATGTTCTCCAACAGTGCTGAGTATATTTTAAAGTGTTTGCTGATTTTTTAAATAAAATAAAAAAAATCAAAATGTGTTTTGTGTGACTTCCTCCATCAATACATTGAAGAATAACTAATTATATATATATTTTATTCACAGTTTTGTGCACAGAGCACCTTGCCTGGACTTTCTCCATATTTGTCACTGCCTCCATCAAAATTTCAGCAAATAAATGCATCGGCAGGAACCCTGGAATTCTTTGTCACTCATATTGAAATGAAATGTTTGGCAGAATTTTGCGTTAGTCGTTTTTATCATTCACATTATGCTCTCGCTAGACTATTTTTGACACACTATAATGTTTTCAGTGAAGAATATTAACAATACAAACCTGCAGTGTCAGTGACTGGGTGTCTTCTGTTGTCATTTTAACAGGACAGGATAAAAGACAAAAAAACTCACATCTTTCTAAACCTAACTCCCAGCATCTGTAAAATAAGAGAAGACACTCCTCTTCAGATCCAAAATAACTGCTGTCGGAATGGCAGAACTTGGCTTCTGAGACAGAAACCTATTCATTTTTATGCTGTTTATGGATGCAAGTTACACTTGGAAAAAAAACCCTGAAATGTCTTCATTTTATTGAGATATTTTTATTTTCAGAAAAACTGCATTAAAGTAATTATTTACACAGTAACACCTGAAACTCATCTTTCAGGCCAGAATGAAGTCCAAAATCCGTTTAAAGATGCACCTGAAAGTATTTCCAGTCTAAACTCTTCAGAAACAGATCGTGGCTTCAGACTAAACAGACGCAAAGTCCCATTTACACGAACCTAAACAGCTCGGATTCTTAAATACGGCTTGATCTGTCGAGTCATCTTCCGTGAAATGCTTCCCATTAAGAATCAAAAATGGGTGGAAAGATGTCTTTTTTACCGCCCAACCACAATGTGTTCGGCGGCGCTGCCTCGGAATGAGCAGTTTGCACAGTCCATGGTCTGGCTGCCGAAAAGCTTTCCAGTTGGCTGCAGAATGAGAGGACAGCTTTCTGGTGTTTCTTCTGGAGCCGCGTACAACCCCTGTGCCGAATTCCTCTCATATCTGTCTGCAGTCTGCAACCTGGAAGAGAGAGAAGAGTATGCCCTCATTACAGCATTACTTAGCATTATTTATGACAATAGTCTGTCTGGTTTGAAATCAAACAGTCGATGCTCTTATGTTTTATTCCAGACTAAAAAAGAATAACCACCCTGAAATGAACATATACTATTTCTCATGGAGGCTGCCTCTTAACCTCAACTGCTTTGTCAGAGGGGGTGTTGATTGATTTCTGAATTATTTTATTTAAAACACCTAAGCCTAGCTCAAAAGATATAGAATGTATAGATCTTTGAATGCTTGAGTGAGCATGTTCAGAGCGGATAGATTACAAACTACTGCTGTATGTGTGTTAGGAAATTTAAAAAAACTGCATTCACATAATTTGATGTTTTGAAAAGAGAGACCCAATTGAATATTTGAACAAATGAGTAAAAGTGGTTAACAAAGACAGGAAAACCACGTTTATTATTCACAACCCAAAGTCTGAAAGCCGATTTCCGAATCTAACAGTGAGTTAGTAATGCTTTGATTCTGAGGGGGGCAGATTTGACTTTCCATCTGGATGGAAAACGACATCAAACGGGCTGCTCTTACATTGCCGGTTAGCGTGTACGACTGAAAATGCATGACACGAATATGGGATGTAGAGTAGACAAACAAAAGCGCTCGTCTCCAACAGCGGTAGGGAGCGTAGTTTTAAGGTGAAACGCTCAATGACAGCAAATAATCTAATAACGGCCGAGTGGAGCATCCCTCTGCCTGATCCAATATAGATAAAAGCTAATGTGTAACATAAAGGGACTTCATTGATAAGACAGACCAGGCTGATGGTAAAGTTGTACATGTTTACATAATTACTGTAACTGTTTTTTCTTTGCTAAGCACTGTTGTGCTGTAAAATATGTGATCTTTTTTTCTCTTTAGCTTGTGAGGAGGTGTTGGAGCTCTGTTGGGAGCGGTTTCCGCTCCTGTCGTGAGTAGACTGGACTCCTGTTCCTGCTGAACTGAGCCAGTGGTTCCATAGGACTGATTATCAGTTCAGTAGGCACAGGAATCTCAGCCCCAAGTCTTTGCCATCAATTTCTCTTTAAGACCATATATATATATATATATATATTTTCTTTCCTCTTAGATTTCAATGCAGCAGCAACATTGCATACTTGGGCAGCAGGTAAAACAGCGTTTTTCTCTCTACTTTACCAAGTTGTGAGGGTTCATTAAAGCCCAGAGTGAAGGTGAAAACCGTGTTCAACACGGCTGGAAGCTCTCAGCTGCAGAAACCGTGCTGAATGGTCGGAGTCTGAGATTACTGCTACAACGCCGGCATAAAAGGTTACAAGACTATTTTGGCTTCTGATCGTTTCAACTGAAATATAAATCTATCACAGTCACGTTCCACCACCCTTTGTGACAAACTTGCACACATTCCCCATCACTAAAAACCACCAGGTTGCCTGTGTATACTTTGAAATGGAATCCAATTTAGCAGCTCTTTGAAATATCCTTGACTTTAAAGAGACAATCAGTCTAGTTAAACATGCATGAAGAGAAGATGTGGGTGTTGTGGGGCGAATAAGTTTATTTTCAGGGGCTTTATACTATGTTGCTTTATCCTTTGATGTGCAGAGAACCATTTCCCTCCCATTAGTGTGTAATAAATCACCTTTTAGATACAGGCTCTGATGGCAATTCCTCTCTTTAACAGGCCTTTGATGGTCATTACTCTTTTAACAGGCCCTAAATATAGGTCTAAAAATGGCAGGCTCCACATGGCCCTCATTTCTAATTCACACATCTGTCCTCGTTTAGTCGCCATTTTGTCGCTGTGAAAATAGAGTGCAGTTAAACCTCCTTACGGGACACACTCTTACAAAAAAAAAGAATAAAACGGAAAAAGTTTTTTAATTCATTTGCAGCCATCTGTCACTGTTCTGATCAGGGAATTGCACGGTATAGATTTACATTACAATTAGGCGGCTGCACAGTGGACGCTGGCAGCCCACGTCCAACTTACAGCCCCGGTTAGGGCGGTCAGTCGCTGTGGGTCCGTATTTCAAAGTTACACACACACACTTTGCGGCAGATATCGACGGCTTGAGCGTTAGCTGATGGGTGCTTTTACGAAGTATACGCAAAGAAGGCTGGTGTAAAACACTTCCAAAAGGAATTCTCTGCTGTGTGAAGCAGGGCTATTGATCATTTTGTCGGCAGGCTGGGCAACGAAAATACAACCTTCAAGCTAAACAGGCTCATGTTGCAGAGGACATTTGTCTCTTGCTTGCAGTGGTGTATTTATAGATATATATATATATTTGGCATTATTGTTTATCCGATTCAAGATGCGTTTTCTAATCACACTCAGTAACTCCTGAGACTTAAGCGTGTGCTGCGACCCCACAGAGAACGCATGTGGCCGTTAAACAGTTCTCCTCTCTGAGAAAAACAAGAGGGGCTTATGTCGCGCGTTAAATCCACTACATAAAAACACCCTAATCGCCCCACTAAACTGAAAGTGACACCTAACCCGTGGAAGGACCTGGAAACGGTTATCACCATCTCCGAGGCCTCGGCCTCTTTCGTTTCCCTCCCAGCGATGATATGTGTGAGAACCCGCCTGCTTTATGGCTCTGTGTGTCTTAGCGGCCCTGGGCCCAGATTAGATCAGAAATCAATACATATCATCCAGGGATGGAGGGGCAGCGTTTTTCACTGCCAGAGTCATTTTAAGCTTCGAACCTAAAGCTCTTTAAATACTTATAGGATGGTTTTATGATAGTCATGTGGAGGCTCTCTTTAAAACAAAGGCCACAGCTGTTGCCTGAGTTGACTGCTGAGTTTCAGAAGTAGTCTGACATTTTCGCAACTGCACTTTTGAGCAGGTAGGAGGTGAGGACGTCAGCTCGGCTCACCGTGAAGACCCAAAACTCAGGGGGAAAAGCTAATCTGGCCGTAAATCTTGTTGTTGAAATCGAGCAGAACGCCCATGGCGCTGTGAGGTCGTGAGACGAGAAGCGCCGACTCGGGGAAGTCACCGCCACAAAGCAGGGAGCGCTCCCCGCGATCGCCCCCTGTAAATCCGGGGGGAAGGAGTTTAGACTTCAGTTTTTGCATTGAAACGATGTGATTTAAGCAGCTTTAGAGGCCCTCGCGGTAATGTTTCACCTTTGCTCAGCACCGGGCTAATTCGGAGCTGATATACATGAAATGTGCCCCCGCGGGACACAGCAGGCATTTTGGCACCCTGTAGCAGGACCTGCAAAGCTCAACTAAAGGTTGCTGCAGGCAGATTCACTGTATCCACGTACTGATACAACGGGACAAATCCATCGTAAATCATATTAGTAAAACTATTTGCTATTCCTCCTTAAAATAAAAAATTGTACAGATTTACCTCTTGCACTAGAACTGATTATTGCTCGTATTTGTAAGTGGCAATAACATGCTCCTTTACTCTGCTTCAGACCTTTTCCCTTTTCCATTACACTTGATCTATTCATAGGTTTCTAGTTACCTTGCTCCTGTTGCTCAATATGGGTTTAATTACAAAAAAGTTATTTCTTATTATTAAGTTACACCCACACCCAAGGATAAATCAGGACAAAGGGGTACGATTCATTTTTTCTTTAAAGAAAATTCAAATTCGTTTTCTGTAAGCTAAGTCAATTCTATGACGCGCTTTTAAAAACAGCATTTACTGACCAAACTGTTGAGTACTAAGAACATTGTTAAAAGTAACAGACAACAAATAAAATAAAATGGCTGTGAGGGATTTATGGGCTTTCTCAGTCTCAGTGATTTATTAACCTTTCATGTTACGCTGCTTGTTTAAGCCTTTTTGTCACCGTTGGTGTAAGAAACGGTCTTAACATGAATCTGAAGACCATTTGCGTGCCAAAGCCCTATTCGTGAAAAAAAAGGCTGAGCGTGGAGCACCCTGTTTAAACAGGTCCTCCCACCTGTAATCCGTAAATCTAAAATCAGTTTA